ATCTTGGCCATAATCCATGTTCTTGTCAAAGACAGGAAAGGTGCTCTGGATGGAACTGATACAGATGTTAGATCTTCATCACAACAAAAAAGTCCAAATACTGAAGCTGGACAATCAAATATTATGAGATCACAGTCTATTTTCTTTGGACAGCACCATCATGTAAAACTCACCAATCCAGCTCAAGATCTATTCCGAAAGGTAAGATTTCTGAATGTTAATGGACCTGGGGGGAGATTAACAACTCCGACTTCACCAGATGGAGGGCCTTCAACTCCACTGAGGTCAGATGCAGACGGGAGTTCTGATCAATATGATGCGTTATCAAGGAGTACTTCCCAAAATTCAGTTCTCTCATCAAGCTCTTCCAGTGGAACGGCCAGTGTTGCTTTGATAATTGAAGGGAGTGAGATTGGGTCAGAGTTAAGCACAGTGCCTCATCAGAAGGAGGATCTTTTCCAGTCATCACCTCCCAGTGTACTGGTACTTGCAATCATTTAATGAAAATGCACATTTTAAATCATGCAAGATGTCCAAATTCCAAGTGTAGCACTAGCCACCCAAGTTGATGCAATGTCTGAAAGAGTTCCCATGTATTTCACTTGTTTTTTCCAATTTTCTGAATACTCAGTTATTGATGGATTCCTGCAGGATGGAAGTATAGAGGATCCTCTGTATGATCAACTTGAACAAGCAATGGCTGAGGCCGAAAACTCAAGGCGTGAAGCATCTGAAGAGGCAGTCAGGTGTGCAAAAGAAGAAAGGGATGTTGTTGAGGCCATACACAAGGTATACTTTTGTTCACAAACTACCTCTCCCTCCCATCCTCTTAAAGGAAGATGATTTCATTTTATATGTGAATTATCATGAAAATACATGGATGTTAATTCCTCCAAGTTGAATAAATTGTCATAGAAAAGTTAATAAACTTTATGGTTTGTCCTGAATAGTCCAAAATGTTTACCAATATTTTGATGATAAGCAGACAGGATAAACTGCACCGTTTCATGACACCATTCCCATTAGTTTCTCTGTAATTGGTCACCGAGCTGCTTGAAATAAAAGTTTCAAGCATGTGTTGTATGAACACATGTGAATAACCAATCATGATTCTTATTCACAGGCCAAAGCATCAGAAAGCTTGTATACAGAGGAGTCAAAACGAAGAACAGTAGTTGAGGAAGAATTAGCAAAAGAAAAGGAAGAACTTGAAAAGATAGATAAAGAACTTGAAAAGATAAATAAAGAACAGGATGAAGTCATGGGAGAACTTTGCATTGCCCAGGATCACAAATCACTGCTGGAGAAGCAAATTGAAGTGTCTGATGAGATGGTAAAGGAGTTGGAGCAGAGAATCATCTCTGCTGTGGGACTTTTGCAAAATTACAAGAAAGAACGGGATCATTTGCATAAGGGCCGTGACTCTGCACTGAAAGAAGCTGAGGAGATGAGGAGAAATCAAACAGAGGCCTCAAGCACGCACATGCCTCGGTTCTTCTCTGACTTCTCTTTCTCAGAAATTGAGGAGGCAACTCACCACTTTGATCCATCCTGTAAGATTGGGGAAGGGGGTTATGGTAACATTTATAAAGGCGTCTTACGCCAAACCCAGGTGGCTGTCAAGATGCTGCACTCTAATAGCATGCAAGGTCCTGCTGAATTTGAACAGGAGGTAAGATTCATGTTTTAATTTATTCTTTTCCATGCTGTTAATCTCTGTATATCTTTTAGCCACAGGGCATGATGTGGCGTTGATTTTATGCTAATTTATCAACACTAGTACTGTTATTTAGTATGGTTTTCTGATGCTGGGGACTTGGAGTGGAATTGTAGATGGCTCCTCTCACTTCCCTGTGCCTCCCCCTTCCCAACCCAGCTGCTATGCTCTTTTGGGTTTGGTAATAGATATAGAGTGCATCTGGCATTGTCATCATGCATGACCACAATGCGATTGCCATCGATATTAGTACCACAATGCAATTGTCACTTTTGTTGGAAATAGTTCTGCTGTGCTAGCAATTTCTAAACTAGTTAGTAACTTGTTAACAAGTATGCTAGTGTAACTGATCTTCCCATTGTATTTGTATAATTGGTCAATTGCTTCCATTCATTTTGCCATGTAGATAACTTCAGTCAATATTAGTTGGACCATCTGCTCCTGAGCAGTTATATATAGTTCAACAGATTTGGATTTACTAGATAAAAAATGATTTCAAGGATTTTTGTTATACTTCTTACATCTCTAGTATAATGACTAGCTATGTAACTCGTGTTTTGCCTTGGGTTGGATTAAAAAAAATTCGAAGAAAAAAATGTTCACTAAACAAAAGAGTGTTTTAAAGAGGAGAAAAATAATGTTGAACGATGAAAATGAAAAAAAAAAAGCTAAAAAAAAGAAAAGAAGAATGTTAATCTGAGTTAACCCATTAAGCCTAAGACCCAATTCATTTGACTAGAAGCAATAAACTTGGAAAAACCTTGAAGCTTGATTTTCAACTAAACAAATGTTGAAAGATTAAATTGAAGAAAAAAAAAAACTCAAAACATACAAAAGGAAAAGAAATAGCAATTATAATTTTAAAAAAAACTTTAGGCTACTTGGGCCAATCCGTCTAACTGACGGGTTAGGTTATAAGATCAGGATAACCTGACAAAACGTAAAATGAAGAAGATAATGAAATCTATTTTGTTTTAGAAAAAAACCAATGTTGAATCATGAGATGGAAAGGATTAGAAAAATAGCAATTATATATAAAAAAAACAGAGAGACTTGAGCTCACCTGAGTCAACTCGCTAAGCTCACGAGTCAAGTCATGAGATCAGGATAATCCTACAACGAAAGGCAAACGAAGAAAATCATGAAACTCAATTTTTTAAAAAACCAATATCGAATTATGATATGGGACAAAAATAAGTAAAAAAAACGATGCCAAACTTTGTTAGCTTATAAAACCCGTTCCCTGGTTCATTTGATCGGAGGCACTAGTTATGAAAAACCATAAAATTCAATTCTCAATAGATTAGATATTGAAAGATAAAATAAAATAAAATCATTAACACAAAAGGGTTCAAAAGAAAAAAATAGTTATTAAAAGGCAAAAAAAAAGGGCGAACTATCTAGGTTAACCTGTCAAACCCACAAGTCAGGTCATAAGATCGAGACAATTTTATAAAAGGAAAAACGAAGAAAACCATAAGGCCTATTTTTTAAAAAACCAACATTGAGTAATGAGACCGAAAAATTAAAAAAAGCCTAAAAAAATACGGGAACCCATGTTAGGTTATAAAACCTATGGCCCAAATCGTTTGATTGGGGGCACCAAATCCAGAAAAACCATAATTTCTAAATTTTTAAAAATTAAATGTTAAAAGACAAGATTGAAAAAAAAAACAATAACAAAAAAAAAGGATAAAATTTGAAAGAAAAAAAAATGAGGGTGGATGGTTTTGGATTGAAGGGCTAAATTGAAAATAAAAATAAATTTCACAAAACAATTTGAAGGAAGAACTACCAGAAAAATAAGAACTAAATCTATAAAAAAATCAATAAAATTAAAATTTTAATTGAAGGATAAAATTGAAAACCATTGAAAGTTTACAAAAAGGCAAGGAAAAAAACAGGATCAGATTTGAAAAAAAATAAAAATAAAGATTTTAGATTGAATGATGCAATTGAAAAAAAAAAAAACCTTACAAAAAGGCCAAGGGTAAAAATTAACAAATCAAAAGAATGAGGATTGGAACGCAAATATACTTAATCAAGAGGACTGCGATGCCAGGCGCAAATCTAGAGGGAGGAGAGAGAAGAGGAAAGGAAAGAAAGTGTCCCCAACGACAATCCGTCCATCAAAAAGCAACACGCCGCATGGAAGTGGACGTTGTAAGGAACCCAATGACACGGTTGAAGAAGTTTTTGGTTGTCGTATGAGGGCGCATGCGTCTTCGAAGCTTGGCAGCCTTTCCCACGCACTTGACAACTTTTACTTTTTATTTTTTAGTCACTTTAAAAGACCAATCTACTACTCAACTAACCTGCCTCCAGCTAAAAAACCCACGTGAAAACATGAAATTGCCCCCAAATCAAGCTTAAATAAATTCTATGATAAAGTTTAATTTTGTGATTTTACTGTATTAAGAATGATGAAAATACACAAATGCCCTCAAAGCAAGGCTTAATTAATTCTGATATAAAGGGTAAGTTAGTAATTAAATTGTGTAAAAAAACATGAAATCTCAAAAAAGCCCCCGACAACCAAATATCTGAGTGTTTTCTGTTAAGGGCAGCGAATGTTTTTAACTCTTCAGAAAAAAGATGAAAGTACGTTTGTATCCCACAAAAAATGAGAATTACAAATTGATCACATGAATAAGATTATTCTACACCTGAATTAGTTTTCTGACTTGATTTGAGGAAGGGCAAAAATATCATTTTTTTATTACAATCCACAGTAAATTCTCTCTTGTGCTACTGTCGATATTATATTTTTGGTAAATCTACTAAGTTTCTGCAGCTGTGCTTTTATTTATAACTTTCTGCACTGCATGACCTCTGTGGTTTTATATCAGGTTAATGTTTTGAGCAAGATGAGACATCCAAATCTTATCACTCTTGTTGGAGCATGTCCAGAAGCGTGGACTCTTATTTACGAATATCTTCCCAATGGAAGCCTCGAAGACCGACTGAGCTGCAAGGACAACTCTCCGCCTTTGTCTTGGCAAACTCGAATACGCATCGCCACTGAATTATGCTCTGTCCTCATCTTTCTTCACTCTAGTAAACCACACAGCATAGTGCATGGTGACCTTAAGCCTGCTAACATCCTCCTTGATGAAAATTTTGTCACTAAACTAAGTGACTTTGGAATCTGTCGTTTACTGGATCACAAGGAAGGTTCTAGCAACAACACAACAATATGCAGAACTGATCCCAAAGGAACTTTTGTGTATATGGATCCTGAATTTGTTTCCACCGGAGAGCTTTCTCCAAAGTCTGATGTTTATTCATTTGGAATTATATTGTTAAGATTGTTGACTGCAAGGCAGGCCTTGGGTATAACAAAGGAGGTGCAGTATGCATTAGATAAAGGAAACTTGAAAACCCTCTTGGATCCTTTGGCGGGAGATTGGCCGTTTGTGCAAGCTGAAATGTTGGCTCACGTGGCACTAAGGTGTTGTGAGATGAAACGAAAGAACCGGCCAGATCTTGCATCAGAGGTATGGAGGGTACTCGAGCCAATGAAGGCTTCATGTGGAATGGGGTCCTCGAGCCAATGAAGGCTTCATGTGGAACGTCATCTTTTCCCCAGCTTGGTTCGGAAGAGCATTTGCAACCTCCTTCATATTTTATATGCCCCATTTTCCAAGTACATCTATTCCTCTTACTTTCTCATGTCTTAAGAGTGACTTATCTATACTAACTGGATTTGTATTAGTTTGTCGTTTATATTAGGACTTCTTAAGCATCCCAGTCCACTTTTCATCTCCTACAATGCAATAATTAGGTGCAACCTTCTGATACATATATTATTCTAGCCTTGTATTCGTCCATGATTTGCTTCTCAGTTTCCTTTGCTTCGCCAGCATCTTGCAAAAGGAAAAGGAATTCAATATTTAAGTTTGTGATCATTTTCAACTCCATCATAGAGTAATTTTTCTGGTTTAAATAGCTCTCATTTATGTGTTTACGCACAGTCGCCATTGTATCATGTATGTATGTTGTAGGCCACCTGTGCAATCTATTTTCATCTATAGATCTCTGTTTGCTGCAAACCTATTTCTGTGGCTTGTCATTGCCATGTTAGTAAAATGATGGCTTTCTTGAAGTGCAGGAAGTAATGCGAGATCCACATGTAGCAGCCGATGGTTTTACTTACGAAGCAGAGGCCTTGAAAGGATGGCTAGACAGCGGACATGATACTTCACCCATGACCAACTTTAAGCTGGCGCACTGTGATCTTATCCCTAACCGTGCACTTCGCTCGGCAATTCAGGGGCAGCTGCAGCAGCAGTAAACAAGTTCTTAGCCCAATAGATTGTATAGTTGTTTCTTGAGAGGTAATAGAAATTTCATTACATTTCTTTTTACCTTTCTTTCGAATCTTGTTTTTGTTCGACTTAGGCATCCTACAGTCATCCTGGTGTATAGAAGACAACCGAATGCTTACGGCACATTATGTTATGTTATTGATTTTGTACTTTTATATATTTTATTATTGCTTTTATTTGTGTGTGTTTGTGTTTTTTTTTTTTTGGGGGGGGGGTTGCTCAGCTTGGATGAATTGCTAAGTTGAACCTGATGACCGCTCATTACGAAATTATCTCAGGTTATATTTTTTGTTTATAATTAAATGACTAGGGATACCTGCCTGGATCTCAATCAGAAACCTCGACTTCCTTTAATCTGAGGCAGTCTTCAGACATTTATCATTAGCAGATAAATTACTGAACTTCAATTCTTCAAGCAGAAGAATAAGCAGAAAGTTGTCTTGATCTTCCAACGGCGTAAACAATCAATGTCTTGCATGCAACTTTTGAAAGGTTTTGCTCTGCAAGACTGTTACATATAGAAGATGAGTAATCAACAATTAGTCACCTCACCGCCGTTCGCCGGGACTCGGATTAGGCAATGTTAATTTTTTTTTGACATCAGGAAGTATTTGAAGTGTGAAATGAAAATTCAATGCTTGCAGGCAACGTTTTTTTTTTTTTTAACATTAAGAAAGTATTTGAAGTATGAAATGAAAATTTAACGCTTTAGTTTAATAAAATAAATAAAAAAATTCGATGCATGCGTTCAATAAAATAAAACAAATCGATAATTATATTTAAACTAACATATTTTATCTTACAACTATTTAATTCTTCTTATTTAACTCGATGTTAATTTTTTAGCTAAAATAATAATTAATATTCTATCAAAATAAAATTTTAACAAAGAAAAAAAAATATTTCTCCAATCTAAACTCTAATTTCTTATTAATACTTCTCTTAATGGTTTTAACAAAAACATGCCTTTAAAATGCAAGCATGGTTTTTTAAACAAGAATCCATCTTGGATTTAAAAGCAAATAAAAACATGTGGATAGAATTTTCTTGCATAATAGAACTTGTTGGTAATAAAATCAATCTTTTTGGTTATTTAAATTCCACCAACTAAATATAATTAATTAATAATTTTATCTCTTCTTTGTTGTTTTTTGGCGAGTTTGCCTCTTTTTTTTTTTTTTTAAAAAAGGACTCAAGATGAACAAAATGAACTTCTAAACTAAAATTAAAAAATAAAAATAAAAAGGAACTATAGAGAAAAAGAAAAGAAAAGAAGGTGGATAAAAATAATTTTTTTTGTGAATTTGAAATTGGCCATGCAACTTATTCTTGTTATACACATTAGTTATCTTTTATTGAAATCATTCTCTAAAACATTATAAGAAATTAATCATTAAAGATTAATTGAAAAAAGGTTTGAGACGAAAATGACTTTATTTCTGATATTGCATAATATTGAAAAGTTAATAATGGATTGTTTGACAGGACGCACAAAGGGCTGGCGTTGTCGCCTAATGAAGTTTGAAGACAATAAGTAATTGTATGGTTGAAGACAGGGAATTCCTTTTATAAGAATTTGCAGTTTACTTTAGATTGGCTAGGAAATTGCTTTGAAATTGTCTCTTTGTAAATAACTAAATATTACTCGGTGCTGCCCTGAATTGAATATCAGCTAGAATAACTCTGTTCCTGCAATTTCAGACTAAAGTGATTATTTGGGTGAGAGTTTAATGACAACAAGCGATGCTGAGACTACAGAGGAATCAATGTCACTCGTGATTGATGATACAGTTCATGTTGCAGTTGGAAAGGATGTTGGAGAAAGCAGGTTGACTTTGAAATGGGCAGGACATCACAGAATTTTTCTAGCAAGAGAATTTGCCTTCTTCATGTTCACCAGCCTGCTGAAGTGATACCCTTGAGTAAGAACATATATTAGTACTGTTTTGTGCATGAATTAGTACATACACCCAATATATTAATATGTTCAGAACATTTTTCTGGTGAAGAGTGATTATTTTGATGCTAAACATCGGGTTTTGATCATTCTGATTTTGGTTTTGGTTTTTTGATAATGTGTTTGAGGATTTAAATCTTGTTGGATTTTAAAGCATGGCTTTCGCTTGCAGACTTTGATAAAATCAACCCCTTTGCCACTTGTTTATTTATTATGTGTCTGGGATGCATTTGGTGGGAATTTTCCAGCCAACAGACTTGAACAGCATGAACTGAGGCACAAGATCCTGGACGATTACCTTCTTATTTGTCACCATGCAACGGTATGTGTGTTCTTTAATAACTCTTCCTTTTTAAGTTTCCAGGCTGTTGAATTTGAATTCCTATTCGAATATTTTGTGCATGCTACCATTTAGGATGGTCATTTTCTGAACTGGGCTTGGTTTTGGATCATTTGCTTTTGTCTCTAGTAGTGAAAAACTATTCATTTTCCATGTAATTTCATTGTAAATACTGACTGTCACCCCTCACCAATGCCTATTGCGTTGTCAGAAATGACATAATTTTTCTTTGCTTGTAACATTATGAGATCTTTGTTTGACCTTACTCGTTGAAGCACATAAATTAAATTTAGTATCTCCTTAAGACAGCCTAAATTAAAAAATTTCTTCCCTAGAAAATTCCCTTCCAAGTGTATCTTTCAAAATGCTGTCAATGTTTCCTAAAAACTGCAAACAAGAACTGTTCACATTAAGAATGATATTTCAAACCTGATGCATAGAGGCATTCGTGACTTTATTTTGAAGGTCCTTGCAGAAAAGCTATACATTGAGGAGGATGATATTGGAAAGGGGATCGTGGAACTCTTGTCCCAGCACGGTATCAAGAAGCTTGTTATGGGTGCAGCTGCCGACAGATATTATTCAGAGTACAACCCGTAACTACACTATCGTACCTCATCAAACTCAGATGTCAATGGATAAAATTTTGTGATGTCCGAATGACTATGGATTTTGGCTGATGCTCTTTGTAGAGCCAAGTGTTTATTTTCAGGCATGCTGCCTCAATGGGTTCCGTCATATGAACTATGCCATGTATTTTTAAGCTGAGGAGACCATTGATGAAACCATTGGGCGACTACGCAGAGAATCAGAATGGTCACGCTATTAGAGATAAGAAGTTCACAGAAGAATTGGTTTAGAGGCTGAAAAGGGGCCATAATTCACATTTGCTCTGGACTTGTTAGGTCTTTCACTAGAGATTCCAGTTCTTGTTTTTTCCAAATTCTATTATGCAGCAATCTGAAATCGCTCACAAAGCTACCTCAAAATTGCAGGGGAATGATGAATCTCTAGTTCAGAAAGGACAAATATGCCAACAGTGTGCACCTCTTTCCTATCAAATTCTATTATGCAGCAATCTGAAATCCCTCACAAAGCCACCTCAAAATTGCAGAGGAATGATAAATCTCTAGTTCAGAAAGGACAACTATGCCAACAGTGTGCACCTCTTTCCTGTCAAATTTTTGCTTGTCTGCAAGGGGCACCTCGTAAAAACAGGGTATGTTTTACGAGTATCATCTGAACCTGTTCTAATAGCATCGGGAGTGCATGGATGCAATGCAGTCCTGGGTACTAATTTATCGGAGTGAATGTACTTCCAAATTACGGACACCCAAACAACTTAACTGTCTTTTCAAGTGTCGAAATGCTGATTCTCAATCTCCCAAGAAACTGTTGTTTATTGCAAAAAAATTAAGCAATTAAAAGAAATATCCAAAAGAAATGTAAAGATTTGATTCTTGAGAACCCCAACAGCCTCCGCTGCATTTCAAGTGCCCCATTTGCAGGTAATTCCATTGCTTTCTTAAATTGAATGCTATTCTCATCTCTTTTCAAATGTCAATAGTTGTTTTTGTCTGAAGTGTATTTTGTTCCCATAATGTTTGCAGTAACAATTTTATCTGCTAGTGTTTGCAGGAAGTCATGCAAGATACTCAGGTTGCAGCAGATGGATTTACCTATGAAGCAGAGACTTCGATAGGCTGGCTGGAGATAGAGCTTGAAAATCTTGATCTCATCGCTAATCGTTCTCTTCGTTCTGCAATTCAACAGTGGCTGCAGCAGCGTTTTTCATTGTCTTATTCAGCTTTAGACCATTGCAGCATTGAATCTCATCTCTTGTCTCCGTCTTTTCCATGGTAGATTGTCAATTCTTAGTTGCAAGGGACTAGCATGTAATTTTTAGTGTCTATTTAAAATTAAATCACATATGGAATTAAATTAAATTAATATTATTAATTTTTATGTTTTGAATAAAATACTAAATCATGAAATTGAATTTAAATTGAATTATAACTTGTTGAATTGAATTTAATTAGTTATCTTAATTGTTTTGATTTTGATTCAATTTTTTTTTACATTTTTTTTTTGTTAATGTAAGAATAGAATCCACATAAATTATTTTATGATAAATTATGATGCATGATATGATAAAGACAATAGACAATATTAGCATGCAT